AGTTACCAGAACAACCCCATTTCATTGTGATAAGCTTTATCATAGAAGCAGGTTGAGATGCAATGGGTGTGTACAGCGTTGGAACATAGAATTCAGTGTCAAGAGGCATCCTGGTAGGGACGATAGTGCAGCCAAGCTTAAACTGCCCTCAAAGAGTTGTGTTTACCTCTCCTTGCCTCAGGCACTATAGATATTCTTTATTTTTTTATGTTTGGCCATCGTTCCAACCATGTGAATATTTCATTGCTCTTAATGGCTGATTGTGGGTGTGGGGACCAGAGCTGGCCAGTTGGAGAAGTCAGGATGCTGAAAGAAGTTGAACTTGAGGATGCACACAGAAAACTGAGAAATGTGGCAAAAAAGGATTACATTTCTCTAAGGGCCAACTCTTATTTGTCTTGAGGCATAAAAGTAAAGTAACAATGATTACAAATCTTACTGAGCCATAAGAAATAGGTAAGAGACAAATTGCACATAATCAAAATTATATGTAAAAATATATGTCATATATGGTCACTCTATGTTATGATATAGAATATATAGCACATATACTACACATGTATTATATATTCTAAAAATGGAACATACATAGTACATATATAAAATTTATAGCATATACATAATGCATATATATAAAGCCAAATATAGTACCATGCATAGTATTCTGCTCATATATATATATACATATATATGTGCATATATAGACAAGAAATAAATTCAGACTTCCTTAAGCAGAACTTAGTGTATTATTTTATTTCCCCCTTCTATCTTACACAGAACACATTTAGTTGACTCTCATTAAATTAAATATGTGCAGCATGTGACATATTTAATGTCATATTATAAGAAACAAAGTTTAAGGGCAACTATGGCCAGGAAAGACCTCTACTTTGCATGGTATTTAGCACTTAGAACTTGTGTATCCAAGATTCCTTACACTGTACTTTATTAACATAGCTTACTTGTTCTACAGAGCTGGAAGAGAACGATGTTCTGGTCACTTCCTTGTGAACAGTGAGCAATGAAAGTGCATTTATAGAAAAGATTTGTGGATTCAGGGGTCAGTCTGGAACTTTCTGCAAGCCTACACATGTTCATCTATGCTGTTCAATACAGTAAGCTACTAGCCACACGTGGCCAGGTAAGACTTAAAAAGATATTGCTGTGGGGAACTGAATTTTTAATTTAATTTCACAGATTAACATCCCAAGAGCCACATGTGCCTGCTGGCTACCATATTGGACAACACAGCTCTAAAGACTCAAGCTAGACTAAAAGTTGAAAACAAAGCCCACATAGGCCACATTCAGCTCTTAAGACTCATTTTCTTTGACCTAGATTTTGTCAAAAAAGAAAAGCAGACTTAACACTAAAATTAGCGAGATTCCAAAATGAAAGTATCTGAATTTCAAACATCTTTGAAAAAGCTTTTGCAGGACTGAACCAGGATTCCTGGATGGCAGCAAACAGCCAGTGCTGAGAAGCAGCTGTGACCATCTAATGATAGGCTTGGAGCTGCATGTTTGACAGTTTCCAGTCATTGTCCATGCGTCAATGCTATATGGTCTTCAGGAAGGCTGACCTCATGCAGTCCTGTCACTTGCCTGGTCCCTACTGGCATGTACATATTTTTACCCCTGTCTCCCCCAAATATTAGGTCCCTTTAAATGCCATCAGTAGCAGTGACTGGCCTGAGATCCTCATCTTTGGGGGTCTTTCAACTTAGCAATAAATTCACTGGGCATTTCTAAACCCATGAAAAGTAGACGAAAATCTTTCCCATTTAGAAAAGTATTAATACTTCCACAGGGTAACCTCTTCCAGCACCATCCAGCAATTACAATGAGACTGAATACTAATTAACCTTTAAATAGAGGCTTTGGGGCTCAGGCAGGGAAATGCAGAAGAAAGAATAAAATTCTCAATTAAACCCTAACACAAGTAATTTCTCTTGAGAATTTCTGAACTTTAGGATTTCTAATACGACCAATTAAGAGGTCTTTTTACCCAATGGGATTAAAACAAAGACAAGATCTCTCATCAGATAAGTTTTCCTAAGTCTACAGGGTAGGCTCTGGGCTTTCAAAGACATTCTTTTATTAAGACTCTTTAACTTTATTCTGAATCTTTAGAAACAGATTTGGGATTGCCTTTAACAATTCACATGGCCCCCTAAGTCTCCTCCTTGGCTGCCTCTCTCTCTTTCTTTCTTTCTTTCTTTCTTTCTTTCTTTCTTTCTTTCTTTCTTTCTTTCTTTCTTTCTTTCTTTCTCTCTCTCTCTCTCTCTCTCTGTCTCTCTCTCTCTCTCTCTCTCTTTCTTTCTTTCTTTCTTCTTTCTTTCTTTTCTTTCTCACTCTCTCTCTCCCCCATATATATATGTATATGTGTGTGTATATATATATAACTATTTATATTTATTAATACATATTAAAACATTCTTTCTCTGACTTCATGTAAAAAAAATCCCCAAGTTTTTTTATGTCCTCAATGTCATTACATATTTATGCTATTTATCTGCAATTGTTCAAGGATAGTAAAGAAAAAAAATAAGAATAAGCAAGCATAATTTATTCTGGACCATTTAGAGTCATATGGAATCTTACCTACTGGACTATTAAAGTCAAAAGTTAGAAAAAAATGAGGCCATAAATGAAGGTGTCATCTAAATAGATAAATTTGTAATTGCGACCCATATTATCCCATACTCCATTTACGCCACTGGCACAATCTATTTCCTTTACAGATAACATGAATGACAAAAGGGTTGTTTCTTGTTCCAGGGAATTCCAATATTTTCCATAACCAAAAGCAGCTCCCTTATGCTTTTCCAGGTCTCAGTTTCTATTGGTTATAAACCTTTAGTTTAAGTGAAATTTTATATTGGTTAGAAATCTTAACTTTAGAAAATCTTTAAAGCTGTCAATGAAAGTATCTGCTCTATTTGGCTACAAACCAAAACTTTTCAAACAATGCCTAGCATGTTCAATTTCTTCATTTATCACACTTAAAAGTAATAAATCAATCAAAGTCACACATCTGCTAGTTTCAGTTATAGATTTTGCTTAAATTGCAACATATAAATACCAGGATGATATCCCAGGCTACATAATAAAATGGAAAAATAATTGTGTAAAAAGCAAAACCTCTTCATCAACATCTTATATATATATTATTAATCCATTTAAACAGACTCCACCGCAGATATATAAAGACATAATTACAACAAAAGGCTATTTCTGGATTTCCAAGTTCAAGACATTTGGTTATTTGATGAAACTCTACAAATGTAATTAATCCAGTAATACATTCCACTATCACTAAATCTTATATGCTGACAATTTTTCAGCTATAAAATTTGCCACCAAATTATTCATAAGATAAATGCCAGGAAATACAACTTTACTGACAACAGAAAAACAGCCCACACAAGTCATTCACATGGATTCTTTATCATATTTATAGCCAGGTCTATAAGAATAATCTTCTATTTCAGGAAGAAACAAACAGATGCATTTAGAAAGTGTTGGACTGCCTTACAAAATGCTAGAAAAAATATTTCCAGAATAGTATCTTCTTAAGCTGATTGGTTCAATTTTCCCCTAAAGAAGAAAATATTCCCAGATGTTGAATAAGCTTATGTTTGTTTAATTTAACTAGCTCATAACATACAGTTTTTTGGTTTTTTTTCTTTTTTCTTTTTTTTTTTTAATACTGTGTTACAATTTTCTTATTTCTATAGGGAAAAATGGGGGCAGAAGGAAAACTTTTTCTCACTTTTGTCAATTCTGGCCAAAAACCTGGAATTATGATGTTTATTTTGTTGAAGTACACAGCAGGGGCTCAATAATTACATTGTTGGACATTGTTGAAGGAGACTGACCTTCTTGACTTCCATATATGAAAAATACACAGGTCTATCTTCTAAGCCAATTCAGACCCAATTTAACTATGACTGTTGGCTTCAATTATTTATATGGCTTAAGAGAACAAGACAAGTTCAAGAAACGCTACATTACCACTCTACAAACATTTAGAATTTTATTAATATATACACTGAAGTTTGCTTATTCTGCAGACTGTAGGAAAGGTTTTGCCAGGCAAACTAATACTGTAAATAGAGTTTTTGAAGCAGATGCTCACAGTACTTAAAGAGCATGTTGTTTTGAAGGTGCCTTGAGCACTCTCTTGCAACCACTTACATTAAAGCAGCATATGTTATTTATAAATAATTCATCTCTTCATTATAGTGGGTCTCCCAAGCACCCCTAAGAGTAAAAACTGTTAATCTTGAGTTATTTAATAAAATAAATAGCCATTCCATCCAAATAATCCATCATCATCCCCAAAATGGTAATATTTTTATCTTCAGGTGGTGGTTCAGTTTTTTTTTTTTTTTCATACCTTTTTGTGATGTTTGAAAGTTCTCAGTGAACAGATATTGCTTACATAATCTTAAAAATATAAACTTTAACATGATAAAAATTCAATAAATGAGATCTAATTATTTCCTCTTCAAAAATGGTTAAAATGACTTTAGTAAGAATATATTTTATTCTTGAATACTTAATGAACCTCCACACAAATGCCCAGTAAAATGGTAGAGGAAGAAAAGAAGGACACAGAATTATTTTTTTTAACTATGATTTCAAATTATCTTTAAAACACACATAATTTTATCCCCACAATGGATGTGTTCTTGGTAACTACATGTAAATACAAGTTTATAAATGAAATTGCACTATAAATCCATGAAAAGATATTGTTTAAGGGATGCTACCATTTTTTTTTCTTTAATCAAGAAATATTATTATAAAGTCAATAATCAATCAAATATATGCTGTAAGGATTCAAATGTTCACATAACAGATCTGTTGAATATATACTGCTTCACATATTATTTCTTACTGATGGCATGAATATATTAAAGCAAAAAATTTCACAATTGCCACATAGTTGTTTTTTTTCTTTTTTAATTTGAATTTTCAAACTTTCCACTGTACCTGTAATGAGGTGAAGGGTTGCCTCTTGCTTCACAATTTAAAGTTATTTTTTTATCCTCTGAACCAACAGAGAAAATGCTGTTGCTGGGCTCTTTGATAAACACAGGGCCTTGTAAGAGAAGCTCACCTATATGGGTAGGAGACATCCAAAAAATAATAATAATAATAAGTAAAAGGCATTGAAAAGCTATATTCTAGAACTGAAGAAGAAAAACAAGCAACCAGTGTGTGTTCTAAAAGCAACGCACTCTGTAGGCAATGTTTTGTTAAGGAGAATCAGTTAAACATATTTAGCAGCACCTCTAAGAGAAAGAAAGTCAGTATGAAAAATATCGCCATATAATAAGATCAGTTCAAACTGTAAATAAGGCTGTAGTAATTACCTTTTGTAAAAAATAAACTATACCTACACGTTCAATGGTTAATAAACTATTACACTAAGTCTTTTCTGTCACAAGCCTCTTTGCAAAACTAAACCTCTATTCAAAACCAGTTGAACACACCCGAGCATTATCTTTTTTGCCATTTGGAGATTGGCAAAAATACTTAATATTTGTTGAGATTCCCATTTTATCACTAACAAATTGAAGAGAAGGGCACAGCACTGAGCAAGTGTCTTTTTTTAAAGTATTTCTACTTTTGGTTAAGAGAACTTGAACATCCTCTGAGAAGAATTTCCACATGCACACAAAAAAAACAAAAATCTCTCTTATACGACAAATTTAAAAAAGAACAAGATAATGCCACCACCAAATGCTTATGCGAATGCAGTTATATAATCTTTGCTAGAGCATTTCAAAAAACAAACAAATTCACAGAAGGAAAAAAAAGCTCTTTACTCTCCTATCTAGGAATGCTCAGCAAAATTGCAGAGGAGTGTCTATTGAACTAGAGAATGAATAAACAGACTAGGAGACAAAGAAAGTCCATGTATAACTAGACAAAACGAAATCAAAAACCAGCAAAAAAAAAGGTCCTAAAACTATGCACTTACATTGCAGCTACTTCAAATAGCACAAACATTAGCAAAAATATTTACCTTAACAACAATAATAAAATGATAACACTACAATTAAAATAATCATTGGAATAAAAACATAGCAGCAGCTGCAGCTACTGAGTAAATCCTCCATCCCCAGATCTGTTCATTAATCCCCACAATGCGCTACGAGGTAAATACCATAATTACTCCCCACATACAAAAAGGGAATGCTGAGCCAAAGAGGAGTAGTTAGGTGACATGAGCAAGTTCACGCAGCATTTTCTAGAGTCCATGCAGGGACTTGTCTTTTGCACAAAGAATTTGGCCTTGACCTAGGTCTGGCCTGTGCCTCTGGCTTCTAGGAGGTAATTTATGTCATAGCTGATGAGAAAGTCTTTGTTTAAGGTTAAGACTGGCCACACTGGATCTTAGGATGGGGTTGGCCACACCCAGTAGTCCTGGGTAGGGGACTGGCCACATCAGAAAGACTAACCATGTGACTATGGGTAAGGGATTTGGGTCACATGGTATCAGCTAACCTGGAGCTTGAGTTCAACCTCCTGTGCAATCAAGAAGTCATGCCTACATAACAAAGCCCCAACAAAAACTTTGGACACCAAGGCTCGGTGATCTTGGCTGGTTGGCAGTATTCCTTGTATTTTGTCATGCCTCAATGCTGGGAGGGTAACACATCCTGAGGACAACAAAAGCTTAGCATTTGGAACCTTCCAGACTCTACGCTATGTGTCTCTTCCTTTGGCTGATTTTACTATGGATTCTTTCTCTGTAATAAACCGTGGTTCTGAGTATAATAGCTTTCAGTGACTTCTGTGACTCCTAGCAAATTATCAAAATTGAGAAGGGTCTGGGAGCCTCCTGAACTTGCAGTTAATGTTAGAAGTGGGGGCAATCCTGGGGACTGTGCCCTCACACCTTACAGCTTTGCTAACTCACGGAACTTTCCACTGCAACATCCCTGTGAAGTTCACCCTTCCTAATCCCCACCACTCTTTAGGAAAACTGCTTCCTATCCCTTTTAGGCCCCTGATCTGTACCTGGTCATTACTTTTACCTATAAGGGGAAAAATGCCATAAGGAAAAAGGCTTCTGCCCCCCTCTGTGGGAAAGGACAACCCCCAGAAGAAATGGATTTTAAAATAGCTACTAACACCCCTAATTGAAAAGAACCACCGTTGTCATTTTCTCGATGTTTGCTCCTTGACCAGTTTGCTACCCAGAAATAATAAACACAAACAAAAGCAACAGTCCGTTCTACTAATTGAATTTATTGCCCTAGAAAGTTGAAAATACTACTGATTTCTCTTTGCAGGTATTTGTAAATATGGCAGATTTTTCATGGCATTTTTCTGGTGTAACATCTTTTGATTTACTTCTGATGACATACATTTTATTCATTTATGAGATGGCATGGGAACATCTTTCTGACAAACTCTTATGTGTATAGAGCTTGAAAGCAATAATACCTTAACAGAAGGGTATAAATTTAGAAATAACAGATAAGTTGGAAAGAAAAAAAAAACAAAAGAAAAAAGACTAAGTAGAGTTAAGAAGACTGTGATTTAAACAAAAAAGGCAAAGAGAGGTGTTTTGTTTTTTTTTTTTAATTTCCTACAAGTGCTCCCAATGAAAACTCAAATGTCCATCCTATCATGATCTAATAAAAGTCAAGTCCCAAAAACGATAGTGTATTTCTTCTCCAGAGATGACTATTATTTTAGATAAAGGTGTTAAATAACTAGAAGCATTTTCTTCTGAGACCCTTTTGAGAGAAGGATAATAACAGTTGATGTGCTAACATTTATTGAATGTTTGCCATGTTCCAGGCATCCTCAGCTATTTAGAGCCCCTTCTTCCTGTATTCCAGGCTACCTCTCATTCCATCTCCTACTCTCTGAGGTCTAGCCACCTTGTCCCTGTTTCTGCTTTCCAGGTATGCTGAGCTTGTTGTCATCTTTGGGCTCACCCATTTGTTATTCTTGGGCTCTGGTTTCCTTTTCATTCAGAACTGAGCAGAAATGTCATTTGCTCAGCTTAAAGGTGACCTCCCCCCCATCTAAAATCATTCCACATCTCCCATTCCCACCAGTCACAGACATACCAAAGCAATCTCACCATCTCACTGGATGTCTCTATGTTAAGACCACACATATTTATTTATGTGTTCATCATTTATTTGCACCTAATTCATTGCTGAATCTCCAGCTCCCAGAACATGGCGGAGATTCAATATTTTTCCACTGAATGAATGATTAAGATGAATGAAGCAATTCTCACGATGACTTCATTTAAGGCAGATACTATTTTAATGCTGGTGATCGATAAAGCTCAGATTTTTTTTTTTTTGAGACAGAGTCTCGCTTTGTCGCCCAGGCTAGAGTGAGTGCCGTGGCGTCAGCCTGGCTCACAGCAACCTCAAACTCCTGGGCTCAGCGATCCTCCTGCCTCAGCCTCCCGAGTAGCTGGGACTACAGGCATGCGCCACCATGCCCGGCTAATTTTTTTTTTTTTTTGTATATATATTTTTAGTTGGTCAATTAATTTCTTTCTATTTGTGGTAGAGACGGGGTCTCGCTCAGGCTGGTTTCGAACTCCTGACCTTGAGCAATCCGCCCGCCTCGGCCTCCCAAAGTGCTAGGATTACAGGCGTGAGCCACCGCGCCCGGCCAAAGCTCAGATTTTAATTCCAGAGCTTTTGTTCCCATCTCGTGTGTCGTTTGGCCTTCCCAGGAAAAGCCAGGCACAGAGAGATTAAATAAGCTGAGCATGGTGACACGGCCCCTTGGGGGAAGGCCTGGCCTCCCATTCTTGGATTATTTCCGTTTGCATGAAACCACATCGTTCTTAATATGGCCAAAAGAGAAAATGGACCACCAGCCTGCTTTTTCTCAACTTGAGTATTTCCTGATGACACTGGAGTTAACAGCCTGTGAGGCACATTGCCACCATTTCTGAAATTTAAGGCTCCTAAAGGCTTTCAGACCATCAGCAGCCATTGGGACCTTCCAACTACTCGTAGAAAATAAGTACAAAATAAAAATCAGACGTGGCAGGTCAGTGCGCGCTTCATACTCCGATAAGAGACAAAGGCTACTCCATCTTGCTTCCCTGGAATAAAACAGGTGACGCTGAGAGACTCTGAGGTCTAATGTTCTGGTCTCTTGCCGGCAATATAAACTTAAAAGGAACAGATTCTGAAATCTTTGCTAATCTAAAAGAAATTATCCAATATTTTCTTCAAAACGGATTTTGATCCTCAAAAGGACAGAACTTTGACCATTTCGCGGAGATACTCATAACCAGCAAAAAGCAGCCTGGCTGAAAACAGAAGGGGGCCTCTTGCCTAGCTAAATGGATTCAATGCAACATTTAGATGGATGCTAAACTTTACTTTTTGTGACAGGGGTGTTTTTTTTTTTGTTTTTTTGATATGCTAGCCTGCCTCCAGAGCTCCATTTTAAGTTTACAACCTAAAATAAAGGGAATATAGCATTTCCGAACAGGGCTAGTAAGTCCAAAAATCCAATCTTAAGGTGTTATTCTCCCCCCCCCCCAAATACCTACAGGCAATGAGAAGTAACTGCCTTCAAATGTAAGTACAAGCTTTATGAGTTCCTAAGGCAATGTCACGTAAAAGAGCAAATTGTGGCCGATCAATTCTAATGTCATACTGTATACTATTTTTATAAAGACTGACAAAGAGACATGAACAAGGGGTCCATGTAGTCTCATGACCTTTATTAAAAGAAATGAAATTCCTAAAAGGCAATGATATTATCTCTGAAATTCCCAGGGAGAAAGAAAGCATATCCTGTTTTTCCTTGCTGGTTTACATCGTATCTATAATTTAAAACAAACAAACAAACAAAAAACAGTGCATTTTGAAATAAAGAGGGTAAATCCTAATAGGGGACAAGGTTAGGCAATGCTATTAAAGCCAAAATTTAAGAGGACATGGATCTAGAAAGGAAAATTCCACCCTACAAAGCATCATACTCAGAATGACCTAGGTCAAAGAAGGTAAAATAATATGCTGCCAATAAGATAAGATCTGTATTCTAAGTCCCTACTATTCTACATGGAAAAAAATTTTAAAGATGAAACTTTTTTTTAGCAGTAGGACATCA